GGAGCAGTGCCAGGACGAGGCGCGGCTGCGGGACGAGGCGGAGCGCGCCCTGCGCGACTGCAGGAAGGAGGCGGACCGCGCCGCGCTCGCGCGCCTCGAGCTGGAGAAGAAGGTGGAGGCGCTGCTGGACGAGATCGCCTTCCTGCGCCGCGTGCACGACGAGGAGGTGGCCGAGCTGCAGGCCGAGCTGCAGGACGCGCAGGTACCGCCGCCGCGCGAGGTGCAGGTGTCCCCTCCCTCTGCCCTTGCAGGCGCGCGAGCACTTGCCCCTCTCCGCCTTGCAGGTGGCTGTGCCTTTGTCCCCCTCCCTCTGCTTTTGCACTTGCCCCTCTCCGCTTTGCAAGTGCCTGTACCTCTACCCCTCCCTGAAGATGCCCGGGCATTTGTCCCCTCCCTCTGCCTATGTAGGCTGCACGGGCATCTGGTCCTCTTTGCCTTGCAGGTGCCTGTGGATTTGTCCCCACTTTGCATGTGGCCGGGTATTTGTCCCCTTCCCCCTACCTTTTATAGGCTGTGCGGGCATTTGCCCCTGTGCCTTGCAGGTGTCTGTGCCTTTGCCTCCTCCCTGAAGATGCCCTGGCATTTGTCCCCTCCCTCTGCCCTTGCAGGCTCTCGGGCACTTGCTCCTTTCTGCCTTGCAGGTGCCTGTGCCTTTGCCCCCCGCCTGCAAGTGCCCAGGCATTTGTCCCCCTCCCTCTGCCTTTGCAGGCTGCCTGGGCATTTGCCCCTCTCCACTTTCCAGGTGTCTGTATCTCTACTACTCCCTGCAGATGCCCAGGCATTTGTCCCCTTCCTTTGCCTTTGCAAGCTGCATGGGCATTTGATCCTCTCTGCCTTGCAGACGCCTGTGGATTTGTCCCAACCTTGCAGGTGCCTGGGCATTTGTCCCCCTCCCCCTGCCCTTTGTAGGCTGTGCAGGCACTTGTCCCTCTGCGTTGCAGGTGCCTGTGGACTTGTCCCCCCACCTTGCAGGTGCCTGTGCCTTTGCCTCCTCCCTGCAGGTTCCCTGGGCATTTGTCCCCCTCCTTGTGCCTTTGCAGGCTGCCCGGGCATTTGCCCCTCTCTCCCTTGCAGCTGTCTGGATGTTTGCTTCCTTGCCCTGCCAGTATCGGTGACTTTGCCCCCCTCCCTTTCCCCTTTGCAGGCTGCACGGGCATTCACCCCTCTCTGCCCTGCAGGTGCCCGGGCATTTGCCCCGTTCCTTCTGCCTTTGCAGGCTGTGTGGGCACTTGCTCCCCTCTGTCTTGCAGGTGCCTGTGCATTTGCCCCCCACCCTGCAGCTGCCCCGGGATTTACCCACCTCCCTCCGCCTTTGCAGATTGCTGAGGTATTTGCTGCTCTCTGCCTTGCAGCTGCCTGTGCATTTGGCCCCCCACCCCACCTTTGTTGACTGCGCAGGCATTTACCCCTCTCTGCCTTTCAGGTTTGCCTGCCCTGCAGGTGCCCAGGCATTTGCCTCCCTCTGCCCTAGACCTTAAACACTGGAGGCTGCAAGTGGGAGAGGAGCAGTGGGGGGAAAAGCCCTGGTAAGCCCTAGTTTGTTCTTCCTGTGGGCATCTGTGCTGTGCCCCCATGTGACACGGGAGCCCAGGCAAGATGGACCTTAAGTCTGACCAAGGATAGGGCAGTTTTAATGTTCTTGTGCACTGAAGGTCCTGTCCTGTGCATTGTTTCGCTCCCTACAGAATGCTGCGCTTCCTCTGCCGTGCCAGCACCTTTCCTGCAGCTCTGCCATTTGTAGGGAGAGCTGCAGGAGAGCCCACTAGCGCTCAGCATTTGACTCCCGTGTCCTGCTGCTGCCCCAGTTTCCTGTCCTCCTTCATGGCTCAGGGGCTGTACCTCGCTTTGCAGCACAGCCCCACTTGTGCACAGCATCTCCCCTTCCCTTTAGGCTGGGCACACTAGGTGGTGCCCACACCCAGTGCTCCCCTCTGTGGCAGATGGGGGTCTCCATCTGCCCTTGTCTGTGCTGGAAGAGACATCCAGGGCTCATGCGAAACACAAAACAATTCCCCTTCTAGAAAGGGAATGCATATGTTAGACGCTCGCAAGAGCTGTCCTTTATGCAGCACGTAGCATGGGGTGTGCCGCACGCTCGCCCAATGCTGCCCTCCTTTGTGTTGGGCAGGGTGTGCCTCTAGCACAATAGTCCGTGTCCCTGCCATGTAGCGCACACGCTTTGCGGATATCAATTCTCCTGTATGCTAAATGGAGAGAGTCCTCCTCCCCTCCTCCCTGTATTTCATATATGCTAGAATAGGTTCTAGACATTACTCTGAGCTCCTGGCTTCGGCAGGCAGGAGGTCATTGGAAGGTTATCTCTGTGAAGGTCGATATTTGCCTGGCTTCTCTCAAGTGGGAGATCAGATAGCTGCCTCTGTCCCATGTTTGTCTTCTGTGAATCAAAAATGTATAGCATACTTCTGTCTTCTGGGTTATGATGTGTTGGGCATGAGGTTGTCAGGAGGGTAAACTGAGCATCTTGCCTTCATCCGGCAGAGTATTTCATAGCCTCACCCTAGGACTATTGGACATTCAGTCTTAGGAAGTGTCAGCGATTTAAGCAGCAAACCCTGTTTATCATTGTTAAGCACCACGGGGAAGAAGGCTTTCTGCTGCTGCTGTTCAGTCCCACTGATAGAGCCAGTGCTTTCTGCCCTGTGTCCTTATCAAGGCATGCCAAGTACACACAATGACAATCAGTTGCACTATCACTGTGTGCCACTGCAAAGAGAAGACCATGTGGGCACATAAATCTGAAGCCTGGATGAGAAGGGAAGTGCTGGGCTTTGTTTCATGTGGCATGTTTGCAGGGAAGGGGTGAGAGGCTAGTTCCTTAGCACAGGGAGAAAAGAAATAGGATATTAATGCAGAATGCAAGTAGCTGTGGTAATTCCTTGGATGTGTAAGAGAATCTCTTATTTCTGTGAGCTTATGGGTAGGTTTCTTATGCAGTTGAGTGACTGTGTGTTTGCCATGGAGCCTATTGTCCATTTGCAAGGTGTTGTCAAGCAAGTATGCTATAAAGGGATTATAAACCCCCCGCCCTCAGCCCCTGGGGTCCACAAGGACCAGGACAGCGCAGTTCAGTGAAGTGACTTTCCAGCTGTAATCACTACATTGATCTAAATGGGATGAGTTCCCTGAGCACTGAGTGGTTCAGGGGTATCATAATGCATTGATTATTCCTGTGTCATGGGAGACTCGGAAGACCTTAGAAGGGCTGAGGTGGTAGCTAATGAAGGGAAGTGCTTATGTGATTTATGCAGGGGAAGTTGGGTATGGTCTTTGTGTTGAGATTTAAGAGCAGGATTTAGCTTTCAGCTCTGCTGATATTTTCTATGTGAAAATGGGTAGGTCGTTGAGAATGACACTGCCTCAGTTTCCCATCTGTAGCAGAGGAGTCATAATCCTTTCTTTCTCCCATATTTTCTCTTTAGATTGTAAGTGCTTAAACTACAAGAAAGCCTCTACTCCCTTCTATATACAGCACGTTTTAGCACAGGAATTACTGTAGTTCGACTGTATATTGGCAGGTGAAGTCTTTGATATAATAGGGAAGTTTAGCTACTTAAATAATAACCCACTTTGCCCTGTATTTGTGAAGCATATAGTGAAACCTGGAAGTCAGAATCTATCTCCATTTTCTTTCCTTTGCATGCAGAGTCACGTATTTGTTGAATAGCAACCATGCTATTTTGGAAATCGAGAGAAGTGCCAAAGCACCTGCTGTTCACCTTTCAAATGAAAGGGAGCTATTGGGTAGAGAACATCCAGGAGAGGTCACGTCTGCAGGGTTTTGATCCTGTTCCCTACCCATCAGCTGGCATAAGATAGCAACATATCATTTCACACTGCATGTGATCGAATCCTGTATCCATGATCAGGGCAGGACTTTGAGCCTGAGATTGGGAGCGGGGAGAGTTTTGCTGCATCTCTACTTAGGTTTTACACAAATGATTGACCAGGAAAGCTGCTCTCACTAGGAGCTCTTTATTAGTAGAGTGATTGCTTTCACGGTGACGAGCAGCAGGGACAGAAACGAGGTCACTGCTGAGACCGACTGCCTGACAATCTGAACATTTTCAACTTGATTGTATCCTAGAAATCTGCAGCAGTCTGTTCTAAGCAAGATTCGTGAGTGACGGTTTTGCAGGAGATTTGGAATCACGTGATTTGCTTTCATCCCCGCACCTCCCCGTGTTTGTTACAGGCAAACTCCTTTCTTTTTGTGTGCTGGCCATGTTGCCCTTAAATTGCAGGATAAACTGCACTTCTGAAATACCTTGGTTTCAGAATGTGTATGTTTGCATTTGGGGCCAAATTTACTCCTGGTAGAAACAGCTGCAAGTATCCTCATGTCAACAGAGGTGCCTCTGCTTAGTCCTGTGGGGAATTTGGTCTGTATTTCTCTGCTAGGGACTGGTCTGATAGCATTGTAATAAATATGTGCATGCTTCCATCAGCATTTGCCAAGGAAAGCCTGCAACCTAAAACTGAGCCCTCATAGCATGGCCCCAATCCAGCATCTGTATGGAAATTCAGTGATAGATCAATAAGTTTATGGCTTTCCCAACACTGCTTCACGGTGGATGGTTCAGCTGCCAAAAACTCACCGCGTCTAAAATCCATAACAGGCAGAGCTATAAAAAATGCAGCAGCCCTTGGGGTTTGGATTGAGGAGGAAATAAATTTTGCTTATAGATTTGGCTGTAATTCTGTCATTCTTCCTTCATCGAGCAATGAAGAGCCTATTACGTTCAGAAATTTGGATTTTGCCTGAACCGTGACTGGTAGGCCACCGTGCTACAGAATTGTGTGAAGATGCTGGATCATTTAAACAAACGAGTCATTTCACTTGTGAATGATATTGCAATAGCAAGGCAAAAGGAATTAGCAGAGCTGGGGGGAAGGTCAAAAAGGACTTTAAATTAAGCTGTCCTGGAGCATTCTCAGTTGTCCCCCAGACAGTTGTCCCACTCAGTAGCAAGTCTGAAAACAGTGCAGCGCCTCTGATGAATGTCTCTGACACTGGGTTAATTTGGAGTGTTACTATAGTTACCATGGGGGTCTAGATTGCTAACACAATTCAGTATTTTGTGTGTGTGTGTGGGAGGGCGGGTTACATGATGTCACACACCTTTGATTGCATCACTTGTCCATACCCACCAATCCCTCCATTTCTGCATGGGGTTCAAGGGAAAAAATGTGAGCCAGCATTGGAGGCGTGCTGTCTCAAACAGGAGGCAGCACCTAGCCATTGCAGTAGCCATGTCATGATATATGTACGCCTGTAATTCATGCCAACGGGGTGGTTTATTGTGTATTCTCCAGGTCTCGGTGGAGTTGGATGTGAGCAAGCCGGATCTCACTGCTGCCCTAAAGGAGATCCGCATGCAGTATGAGGTCCTATCTGCCCGGAACCAGCAGTCGGCCGAAGAGTGGTACAAATCCAAGTTTGCCAACTTCACTGAGGAGGCTGCGCGCAGCAATGACAGCATCCGCCAGGCCAAGGAGGAGATCACAGAGTACCGGCGCCAGCTGCAGTCCCGCAACATTGAGATCGAGTCCCTGAAGAGTGCCAACGAGTCTCTGGAGAGGCAGCTCCAGGAAGCTGAAGAGAGGAGCAACACAGAGATCCAAAATCTGCATGTAATTTACACTCAACAGCAGATGCACTGACTCCCCAGAGGTTCCCAAACCCTAGAGCTCAACTGCAGCTTCAGAGATGTTGCAGATAGACATGATGTAGAGAGAGGCATCATCCAGGCTCTCTTCATTCCGCCTTCATAGCTCATGCCACACTTTTAGATAGCTTCGCACTGTGCAGTCCTTGCCAGTGGGTGGGCTGTGATTAGCAAACCTGAGTGGTGGAAGTTAGTTGTAATGAGAGTAGGATGCAGGTTTATAGCCTTCCCTACCTATAGTCTTCAGGCACTTGGAAAATGTTAATCCACTAAGTAGATTGTAAGGATGGTTTACCTACTGGGGAAATGGGAACACCAGGCATTCACTGACCACGTCAAGTCTGAGGGTTAGGTCAGAGACAGAGGTAGAATCATGGTTCCTAGGCTTCACACCAAGCTAACAGGAGAACTAAGTAGTCCAGAATTTCTTGTCACTTGCTGTAAATGCTAGACAGATTAGCACTAGGAAAATAATTGTATCCTTCACAGTCCTCTGAGTTACTGAGTCACAGGTTAGAATAGAAAACTTCTGATGTGTTGGGCAAAAGTTCTTCACTCAAAACTGTGTGAAAGTGTTATACCCCTACAGCAAAGGGAATATGCAGTGTAAACAAATAGTGTGAGTGTCCCTGAGATGAAGAGATCACTATCTAAATAGACAAGACAGATTAAACATGAGAGGACAAGGAGATGAAGGGACTTGCAGCCATATAATATGTCCGTTGCGGTTAGGATTTCATTAGCTCCAGTGATCTGTCCACACTAGTATCTGATTGTACACTAGTTTGAACTGTGTGTCTGGAAGCAGGGCACTGACCAGCAATGGGAAGAAGCCATTAGCATTGCTCAAGATACTTTCACTCCCATTTTTTTGTTCTACAGGAAACTATTAACCAGCTGGAGAATGCTCTGAGGACAACCAAGGGAGAGATGGCTCGTCACCTCCGGGAGTACCAAGATCTGCTCAACGTAAAGATGGCCCTGGATATTGAAATAGCTGCCTATAGGTAAAGCATTACTGTGAGGCCATCCTTTTCACAGGGCTTTGGAGATGTCCTTCAGACTCTGGAGGTCAATGGAAGAGCTGCAAGTAACACTGTATCTTTGAGTGGTATAATAATGCAACTTAACAATTGCACTATGAGCTTTTTTTAATTGGGTTGTGGAAAAAAAATTAAAATAACAAGAATTGGACCCATTTCAACTTTTGCAAAAGATGACGACTTCAAATGTTTTTGTGAATTGGAAGAGAATATATTTTCTGGCCAGCTTTTACCCAGGGTTCCTGGTTTGATGGGGGCTGCTGATTATGTTGAAATACTTTGTTTCCATCTTTACCCTTTCTCTTCCATACACAAACTACACATGGTTCCAGAGAAGTGCTAGTTAGAGGAAATGATCAAAAGTGCCCTCTGTCTGTCAGGATGTTCAGGGAGGGAATCTCCCATGGCCTGAGGGGCTTAAACACCTGCTTGCCATTGAATTTTAATGGGAATTGAATTCCCTTAGTTTCCTTTGAAGATCCTTACAGCACATTTACATACATACTTGCTAAGTGCTGGGGGCACTTAGACTCTCAGATGCTACACAACAATCCCTCAGGTCATGTGGTGTATCTCATTAAGGCTGCAGCAAAAGACTAACTGCAGTAGCTGCTCTTTCTTGGACATGAATGAGAAATCAATTGGTACATCAGTGTTTCCCAAGGGGGATGCTCCCCTTTATCCCTGCTAGATGAAAGCAAACTGATCTTGGTTGGATAACTTATAAAGGAGATGAGGAGAATTGGAAATCTTGCTCCAGCCAGGGCTAAAATGCTCTTTCCTTGGTATTTTGCTTTGCAGGAAGTTACTGGAAGGGGAAGAGACCCGACTGAGCACCGTTACCAGTGGGAGCACATATGGCCTTGGCTATGCTATCCCATCTGGCCCATTCTCCGGAGTAAAAACCTTCTCCAGCAGCATGGTCACTGTCAGAAAGGAGGAGAAGAAGGACCCGCAGGACAACATCAAGGAAGCCGGGCTGGCTGAAGAGCCAAAGGCTGCTGGGCAAGACAAGCCCAGAGAAGAGAAGGCAGAAACAGCCCCAGCCAAAAACTAAACTGAAGTAAGCTTCTGTCTCCTCAAGGGGAGCAGGAGTATACTGCAGGGGAAGAGATCATCTTGTATCCTTCTGTAGCCTGTTACAGTAACATGGAGGGGCAGCACGGTCCAGTGGATAGAGCTTTTGACTTGCACTCAGATGCCCTGGGTTCTCTTCATAGCTCAGCCACTGACCCACCACATGACCTTGGACCAAATCACTTCCCCTCTTTGTGCCTAGTTTTCCCCTCTCCCCCTTGGCCTATCCTATCTGTAGATTGTAAGCTCTCCTGGGCAGGGACCTCTGTATAGCACTGAGCACAATGTTGGAACCTTCAGCACGACTTCAGTGCTGCTTTAGGGCAAGGGCTCCCTGTGTCTCATGCCCTTGGCTCCCATGCCCTCAACCCGCTCACATAAAACTTGGTTGTAAATACTTCTGCTGACTTCAGTGGCATCAGATCTGGGCTCTTTCTTAATATGCAGACCAGGGCTCCAGTGTATTCCCACTTCCTTCCCACAGCTCTAAACCCTGCTCTTTTACAGCAGGTTAGGATATGCATGTTTGCAATTGCTAGCTTCTGCAGCCAAACTCTGTTAAAGGATTCTGTTAAAGCAACTTCTTGGCTCCTGTCAAGGCCCCTATTGATTAAACAGGACCATCTCACTATCCTGATGCCTCACACATTTGGTACAGTTACCCCAAAAGGTTACAGATCACAGCTTCTGAATACCCTGTAAGAGGTGCCAGTGGGAGTAACCTGTTGGGTCTGGCAGTGGCAACTCTGTTTTTTATTCAGGGAAGTGCCAGCCAGGTCTGTTTCTATAGAAAGAAGCCAGTCTCTTCCTCACTCTGGTCAAGAGACCAGGCCTTCAGCCCTTCTCTGCTTCTGAGACTTCTTCCACTTTTTTCCCTTCCTTCCTTCCTTTTTAACTTTTGCTGTCACTGCCAGCTGAGGGCACTCTCTGGGTAACAGCAGGTATAGTCTGCAGTCAAAGAAGAGATAGAAAAGCTATGGTTGACCACCAGATTCTGATGCATTTACTCGCACTGAATAGCACCTTATTCCACCAGCAGTGTCAGTGGAGTTTGGACCAGATGATGTTTCCAACCCTATACTTCTATGAGTAAGGTATCAGTAGGTATACGGTTATCATGAATCTGGCTCAGATCTTGAGAAGAGCTTGCTCAGTATTTGTGGTGGTGATCACTTGCAAATCTGGCCCCCTTGTGAGTGCTGCACACTTGAAAATGTGTCCCCAGGCTTTTTTATTTGGCTATTGTTTTTTAGCAAAACAAAAAAGGGTGTTTGGGGGAGCAGAGGCAAGGTTACCCATAACCTTTTCTGCAAAAAGCAAATAAACATGTGCAAAGCTGAAAATGCCAGTGATCTTGCTGAGACTCAGGTGTCTTGGTTATGATGTAGAGGGACCAGTTGACCATCTGTCTGTTCTTTCTCTCTCTTTTTTTATTTCCTACCCAAGAATGTACCTGAGCAGTGTGGGGAGGGGGGATGTATTATGAAGGTGAATGTTCTATAGGAAGGTTTAGCTTGATCTTCTGAATGTAGAGCCAATGGTGCTTGATTGCTAGGGATGTTGTAGCTCTTCAGCAGAGCTCCTGATGGGTTGCAAATGTCAACTGAGAGCTGATCAAAATGATTTGGATTGTGAAATGCTGACAATTTCAAAAACTGGAGAGGTGGGAGAATTTGAAATGGTCATGGAATTTCCTCTCTGTTTTTGTCACCAGCTGTGGAACTGGTTGAAATGTCAAGTTATCAAGCCAGACAAGTGGAGTTAAATTTCACACCTTGTCATAAGATGTTTGACTAGCTTAACTTTAGATGGTTACTGAATGTAGATTTACTAGATAATGCAATGCATGGCCTTCTCTAGGGTGTGTTTGCGTGTATGTATAGTGGAATGCTAACTGGTTGTAGAACAGTGGTTATGCAAGCATTTTTCTTTAATTGATACAACCTTTTGGTTGAAGTATCATTTTGCATGAAGCCACTTTTCACATAGTTTGAATGTGACTTTCCTCTTTTTGGACTAAAATATCCTTTGTTTATTTAAAAGACAAATAAATGGAAAAACAGAAACCCCAAGGAACAAGGTTAGTGTTGGTGTCTGAGCACAAATATGTGCAGGTTGTAAATTCAAATCCTCACCTTCGGATGTTCAACAAATATTGATTGAAACTCTTCTACTGTATGCCTGGTCATGTGTTTCTAATCATTTTGTTTCACACTGATCAAGGAGCAGTTCATTGCTAGCCTCAGCATTTTTATATCCCTGTTTATTTTGGTTTTGTTCTTTTCCCACACCACCCTGGAAATAACGGGCCAGGTTTTCAGCTGATGTAAGTTACCGTAACTCTTCAGAAATCAGTGGAGATGCACCATTCTATCAGAGCTGAGGGTGTACCGCATTATTTCTCCCCACAGCACAATACATGCAGTTCACAGCAGCATGAGGCTGATGCACCATTTAAATACAATATAAATCTTCAAAATGTTGCGCACACTCTGGGCAGCTTCTCTGTGAAGAGGTGAGTTTCACCCATATACTACAATGGCACAAAGAATAAAGTTGGAGGTAGAGGGAAAAGTTCTAGTAAAGAATAAAAACAGTCTACATCTTATAATACTACTTTGTGCTGTCCATGCCATTTCATTCCTTAAAATAAAATCACCCTCACAAAGTCAAAAGTTTACCCAAGTTAAACAGCCTATTGGCTTAGTGCGATGAAAGCACACTGGTTTCTGTAGCTGGCCAAACACAGGGAGTGATGTGCCCAGTATCACATCCCATCCCGACTCACTAGTTACTCAGTTACAACTGGGTGCATGAGCGTAAGTCCAGAGCACAGGGCTTAGGCATGTACTTGCCATCTTGCTGCAGCTTCACTGCTTTTCGTATCCATCCAAGCTTGGGAATGCCCAAATATTCTGTTATCACCACTCCAACAGCAGTGTATACGTGATCTGAATCCCATCTCCCATAACAGTGCTAAGGGTACATGCTGTTTACTAAATTTGCCACGCTACTGCCAACTCTTCTTCAGAGATTTCAAAAGCCTGCTCTTAGTGGCGGTTGTTCTCATGTGTAATTATATATTTGTCCTCTCACCTTGATTACTTGCTTGTGAGAATCTCAGGTGCAAAGTGAAATGTGTTATTCTTGGCTCTCACTGGAGGTATTGCTGGTGCTAGAACTGAGCTTTACACCTACCAGATGAGATATGTGAATGTGGCTTATCTTATGATCTGCTATAAATGGCATCTCACTCCGTTCCTCTGCTCATGGCCCAGTTATGAATAATGGGGATAACCTCTGCTTGCCTGTTTATTAGTATAAGTGACTATTAAATGCATTGGACTAAAAACACAGGCTACATACATAAAATATTTTCTCAATGTAAAATCCATCTCCACTGAGCTATAATGACCATGGCAGCTTGTCTGCTGGAAACTAATGGACCAAGATTCAGTCAAGAACTCTTGAGAGTTATTGACCCATGCTAATATATTCTGAAGATGTGGGGGAAAAAATAGTCACATGCATTTCTTTATGGGTGAAGCTATTTATTGATGTATACATGGGATGTTTCTAAAGGATGAATGTCTTCTGTAATACATTAGTCACTCTGATCTATCATCGCCCAGGTCCCAATTACATTAAAAAAATTTCCAGAACCGTCTTGTGTCCATTCATATCTTTGCATGGGGGGGCATTTGTGTCTTGGAAAGCTCAATAAAATGAAAGCAGATCTTTTCCATTCAATACAATTCTGATTAATTTAGTTCTGGGTTCAATTTGACGAAAAGGAGCAAGACCCAAGCCATGTTGATAGTAGGCTGGAAACTATAAGCAGGTTGCCAACCTCTGGAACGCTGCAGTTTTGGAGCAGCCCACCCACTGGAGTAGCAGAGAAGGAGAAAAGCCTCACTGGGTTAAATAAATTAAGAAAAGATTTATATCCTGTTGCTGCCTACAATAACCAAAAAATGGATACGACTACCCAGGAGATCCCCTCTAGTCAGACGATCACTCAATACTGATCAGTCTTGATAACTTCCAACAGTAGGCAGTGTAGCCAGGCACTTGAGAAAGTGGCTGCTTCTCTGAAGGATGAAGAAAGACACATGAACAAGGCAGAGGAAAGAAGAGACCCATGTGATATTGCAGTTGCCTACGCTATCATTCAAACATGGCTTTTGGCTTTATGAGCACTACATACCCAATATACTGGGTATATACTGGTGCCCTTCTACCTTTGGCCCTGCTACACTCACATTTCACTTATATTCCACTTCTTTCAATTCTCTTAAAACCACTAGGCAGAACCTCAGCTAGCCCAACAGAGCTCTGCACATTTTCAGCGCAGGCAGGTGTGCCTCACCATAGGCCAGCAGCTGGAGATGAACTGCTGCATTTTAAGTCTCCTTAATATCTTCCAGGAAGAAGAATTCCTAGACTCCTGGTTTGGGTGCAGTTGCTCTTAGGCCTCATTGCACTATGGGCCTGCTTCTCAGTCAGTCATTCTCATAAGCATGAACCACTAGCAAAGGAGAACAGGAGCATTACATATGGGCTTGGCACTGGTGCCCTTAATGCAAAAGGTACAGGTTTGGCAAAATAGGTGCCAGAGACCTGAGAAAAACTCCACTGCCCCTTACTATTGCCCAGGAGCTGCTTTGTCATTGCCAGAACTGTTATGAAGTAACTGCTAGTAATAAAAATGCCTGATCCCCACAGTCATCGCCAATGGAAGATTTCTCTGGAAACCTGCTTGTAGATGCAGGTGCAGGGAGAAGAACATGTCTTGTTTCAAAGGCTCTTCTTTAGTTATAGAAACCTGGTCTCCAGGGAGGTCCTACATATAACAGTTAACACCTGACATCTCCTGGAGCAGATAAAGGTCCAGCTTCTCTTCCAGGAATGAAGAGACCAAGTAAGGTCTTTCTTGCTGTAATGAACCTCTGAGAGGCTCTGTAAGTAGGGATAAACTTCAGCTTGTTATAAGAAAGCCTATGCCCTATTAATTTGCCCTTAACCAAGCAACGGTTTGTTCTTTTCCCAATTAACTAACATACAGCTGGATTCTATTTAATACCACTGCTAGGTCTTCTCTAAGTAGCTCAGACATTGTAATGACTTGTTCCCAGATTAATCGACACTGGCAAATGGGTACATGATTAGACTTCAGTCCAGTTTTCTCTGTGACTTTCTACAGTAATTTCATATTTTAGCCAGCTGGGTTTTTAACTCAGATGGAGTCAGCCTTGCTGATGTGTGAGATTTGATATGGAGCAGGATGGCCCTGTAGAAAATAGGCTGGAAAACGCTGATGTAAAGGAGGTCAGTTCCTTAAATCAGAAAGCCATGACTATAAAGGCAGGCTTACTGACTGCTGTACAGTCTCTGCCTAGAAGGGCCAGATCCCTGCCGGTCAGCTTCTCTATCTATTCCTCTCCACCTCCCCCTGCTGTTAATGCCCTGTGAAATGTTATCTGCTCTAGCAAAAGTAGCAGAGCTCCTCACAGGGGCCCAACTGGCTGCTGCACATGGATACTCCACTGACATATCACTCCCTGTCAAAGCTGATCCCTTTGTGTGCTGCATGTGAGCAGACCCTTGTTTCTATTCTAGTCGTTGGGGATCCACAGCGGGCAGCAAGTGTGTACAGGAACAAGATTTCAGTTTGAAAATACCCACTTAAGCAATTTAGCAAGACACCAATGACAGGGAAGAATCTACCCCTGTGGTGCAGCCTGCTCTGGGAAGGAAGGGAGAGGTCACTTGTGTAGCACAGCTATGCATGACTAATGGAGGCCAGGTACGCCAAAGAACAGGCCAGCTCTACGTGGGGAAGTTTAGGTAGGCAGGAGCTTTTTCACATCTTGACTAAGTGGCTTGCAGACCTTTGTTGGAGGTCTTATTCAGTAAGGGTCCTTGGGTATCATATACTGTTTAATCAGTAGATTTCAAAGCACTCTACAAAGGATCTATACAAGAGAAAATGGAGGCAGGGAGAGGTCAAGTGACTTGCCCCAGATCCAGGAGGCCAATGGCAGAGCTGCGAATAGCTCAACCTGAGTTCCTAGTCCAGTGACTTATCCACTAGCAGCATTATCTCCATAATGTTCAAGCGTGGGTAAAACTGCTGGGAAATAAACAGCTCTTTTATCTCTCGGTTTCTGAGATGAAGACAGGGTCCGGTTGTTAAAATGGGATCTCGGAGAAGTTGGAATTGTCTAGGGAATGAGCCTGGTTATGGTGTACATGTGTTTTGGGGCTTTTTTTGCCTGTGGTGAAGGTTTGTTTTCGATGTCGATGTCTGGGGATGAGAGATGCGGTCAGCTGTTCTGACAGAAGTGATGCTTGCATTATTGGACTGTCAAAGATGTCTTGGCATGAATCTTGTAAGCCAGCCCTAAGGAGCTGTGGGTTAGGATCTAGCTGGTAGAGTCAATCAGTCCCTGGCTCGGTGCACACTTCTCTGGGTTAAAGCAGGACATCAGAGAAACCATGAATGAGGACTACTAACCAGGATCTTGATGCTGTTCTCCTCTTTTGCTGCCCTCTGGAGCTTTGAGTCAAGCCTAGGTGAAGCTTGCAAGTTAGAAGCGAATCTTGCCTCCTGGAATAAAAACACTGAAATTTCTCTGACCCTTGAGACTGCTAACTTCTCTGGGATACAGTCTGAAGCGTGGCACTAACAGCTGGAAGGACCCTGCCTCTTCCACATTTGCTTGGTCTACACACCATAACTTGTTCTTTCTTTTCACATTGTTTTCTTTACCCCAGAATAATGGGTCTATGAGAGACAGCACACAGTAGCTTCTTTAGAAACACCCTGCATCTGAACTGAAGAGAACTGCACCCTTTTCCTGTGCCATGGGACCCTGAGTGCTCGGTGTCTGTCTCCCATCCGCCAGACAGCATAGGGCCACCTGCTACACAACCTTTCTCCATAGCTCCAACTGTTAAAGTCTCAGAATATGAATCTTTCACTGCTTACATTGGAGAACTATTCCACGATCAGACAGGATCTGCATGGTTCGGGTATTCAGTGTAAAAGCTCCTTTTTTCCCTTTCAAATTTGTCCTACCCTTGACTCCTCTGAGTTCCTGTCCTGTTGAGGCTTTGACACACATCCATCATGAATGTCTAAATCACCCATCTACGTAGCTCTGGAAAATGGGGGAATTGTTCTTTTAGTGTGTGGGGTTTTCATCCTTGGGTATGAAATGTCTGCCAGTGCTCTATGAAGGCCAGAAGCCTCAGGCTGTTTTGTCACTGAGAACAGGCTTGGATATTTACCGTTGTTTCTAGGAAAAAAACCATTGTGTGTCTTGAGCAGTGCAGGGAGAGGGAAATCTCTGAAGGATGGGAGCTATTCCAGGGGTGATAAAAGGGAGGCAGGCAGATAATTATACCATAAATCCAGGGGAAGAACTATAGGAAGGGGACAGACACTGTTTTCAAATACTAAGTGAATGTTGTTTAGTGTGCGAAGCCACAAAAACAAGCTGAAAAGGATGAAGCTGAGAAGATGAGACGTTGGTCAGAGCCCACTGGGACACTGAGCATGTGATTTTACCTTCCATTGGACAGTTCCCAGTATTTGGCAAGAAAGGTTGTCTTGTATTTAAAAAATTGGACTGTGAGTTGGAATATCGGTTTGTGTGAGCATTGTGTTGTGCACTGAATGCTCACGACAGAAATGGTTACATGTTCTATGCCAGTATCCTTAATAGATGATCCTTGAATCAGTTCATTAAGAATCCTCGCATCATCTACTCATGGCCTTTGTGTTTCTGTCCTTTGAGGAACAATCTGGTCTAAGGAGGGTATATAAACTCCTAAGGGGAACTTGAGTGTGCTCCACATTACCCTTGCTCTAGATGAACTGGAAACGGAATTTGTACTGGTTTGGTAAGATGACTCACTGCTACAATAAAAGCTGCTTTAAAAAGGATGTTTGTGCTGAACGGGAACATTCCCACACATTTCTCTATTCGTGAAACCCTGAAAACCATCTCCTGCAAAAATAGTGTAAATATTTTATGCACAACGCATGATCCTTGTGGAGAGGCACAAAACAGCAGCCCTGCTAAAGCCTCTCTGCTGCTAACGTAGAGAATTGAATGTCATAAGCAACCAGCAATAAGGCTGTAATCTAGTGCTGCAGAAAAGCAGCATCGTTTTACCACCACCAGGAGAATTAGATCACAAATTTGCTTTTTCAAGCCTGGTGCATGTTCCACTGAGACAGCCTTAATAAAGACGGTAGGAAGGGAAGGCTAACAAGGTTAGTTGAGCTGTATTATATGCCCTCATTTTTTCAAAGCTTCCTGTCTCCTTCCATGTTCTGCCATTTCTCGAGTTACCATCCAGCCGTTATTAGTGCAGAAAGAGATAACACAGAGCTGACTGCTTAATCATTTATGATACCTGCTGCATTGTGCTCGTAAGGAGCACTTAGGAATGAAACTGAGGGGTTTTTTTCCCCTGCTTATCATTCATGGGCCTTAGTCATTATTGTGGTACTTCAGATCTGATGCTTGTATATCCCCTTTGAAATTAGATGATGTTTCCCTGCCTTGAGATTTGGCCATCTCTTAGAGAGACATGTGCCAAGAGATGGACTGGATGTTACTAAAGAAGACCAGGTATCAAGAGACT